GTGAGAAAACCATCAAAGCTTAAGAAAGCTGTGAAGCTTAAAGCTGTCATAGCTGCAGGAGGAATTAAGTTAATATTTTGACCTCTACTTAAGTGGTTTGATACGTATTTTTTTTTAAACTGACATTGTAAATACTGCATGTATACCTGGAATTCCATGTCTACAGTGAACATGGTTGTTTGAATGACTGCATAATGCTCCAGAGTGAGTGTATTGTCCTGATTTAACTTTCTTCTCAGAAATTTAGGTAGTTATTAGTTTCTTAAGAACTTAAAATTTCAAATGTCTTAAATCTTTATCAGAGGCTATTAATAACTTTGTTTATAGAGAGCTTTTTCCTCTTTTGAGTTATTTCTTTTGGATAAATTCCTCTAGCTTTCTGTGTTTTTGTTATTTTAAACACTGTCATCTTTTTTATTATTATAAAAGAAATACAAATACTGAATATAGACTCATTGTAAAAATATTACACCACTTAGAAATAAAGCAAAAGATGACTTTTGTCTCTCTTAAGCCTTATTACTCTTCTTTCCATAGATAACCAGTTTCTTATGTATTCTTCCTAAATAGTTTTTGTGTACAAGTAATTATATGGATAACCTCATTTATTTTAATCTGAATAGAAATGTGTTATATGTATTTTACATCTGAGTTTTTTCACGTAACTGTTACTTATTTTTATCCATGCCTTAAATGATGAACATTTACATTGTTTCTGATTTTCCAGTTATATCAAGGAAACATCAGTTTTCAAAGATGGGAGCGTTTGTTAGTATATTTGGGATAAATTCCTAGGGGAGAAATTGCTGTTTTTTCTTTTTCTTTTTATTTGATAGCATCGTTGGCAAGCTACCTTGTCTCTGCTGAGATTCCATCGAATGGGTTCCATGAATGAGTGTGTAAAACGCCCAAGAAATATATCAGGAGTAATCATTTGAGAAGAAAAAGCATTATCACTGGATAGGATCTAAGGCAATATTACCAGTGGTTGCCTCATTGGTATTATTAGTGTGTACAGTATTGGCATAATGGTTAAGAGCTTGGCTGCTGACCATCAGGTTGACAGTTCAGATCCACCAGCCGCTCTTTGGAAACCCTATCGGGCAGTTCTGCTCTGTCGTATAGGGTTGCTGTGAGTCAGAATCGACTAAATGGCAGCAGGTTTGGTTTTGGGTTTTTTTTGGTAAGGTTATTAATATAAGTTATTGTGTTGGGGCCTCTTCATTATTCTGTTGAGATCTTTAGATTTTTGTTTTTTTAATTCATTTTTTTATAGGTTGATTCCTGTGTTAGTGAATGGCATGAAGTACTCAGATATCGATATTATCCTGTTGAAGGTAAGTAAACTTTTCTATTGAATAGGGAAGATGATTTTTATGTTGGCGTAGTAGATCTGTGAATTTGGCCAATAGGGCCCTCTTCTAGAATAGACCCTTTGTAAATAGTCTACTTTTTATATAATATGTTACAAAAGTTCAAAGATAGACGCAAACATGATAATGAATTTGGGTGGTAATTGAGTCTAACTTACTTGGAACTAGATGCTTACACTAATTGGGTTATCATTAATTTCCTGTTGCTTTAAATTTAACCTAAATTATTTGGTGCTTATTTTGAAGTATGACTTCTTAAATATGCTGGCATTACTTTGATTGAAGTACAGTAGATTATGCCAGCCATTGACAGGCAGTACAGTGTGGCTGAAAGTGCCTGATACTTAATAGTTGCTATGTGTTATTCTCCCCTCCACAAAG